TGCAGACACTGAACCACCTGCCATCTGCATGTGTTGTCCTGGATGTCAGTGCCAACTTTTCCAGTCATGCTGAAGTCCCCAAAGAGGCCAAGATAATCATCCTGAATCTGAAAGAACTCTCCCATCTCCAGCAGAATCTTCTTGGAATTGGCGTGCTCCCTCTCACCATCAGTGCCTGCCATGTACATAGCTGCAGCTACAGGAAGGTAGAAAGCTGTCTTGTACTTGACACAGATTTGTACCTTTTTTCAGTGAATCTGCCAAGATCTACATTGCTCTGGGGGGCTATGATGAGGGCCAGGGTCTGCCAATCTCAGTCTGATAGGAACGCTACAGGGAGAGCTGGATCAGGGTCAAGTAATAGGGTTGCTCCTGGCAATAAAGCTTCAGCAGGTTGTAAATACATGCTTGCAGAAGCATCGCATCATTGATGGCATCCAAACCCATGCCCAACTTCTGATGCCAGCAGATCTGTCCCTGGTGAGTGAGGGATGAATCTATGATGTCATCTGCCACCAGGAATAAAGCTTATAGCAGTTCCACACACCAGCCACAGTCAGGGCTACTGGAGACTATCAGCATCCTGTTTCCTCGGCTCCACCAGCTCCCAGAATACAACTAGCACCATCAAAGCCCAGTGATACTTGCCTCCAATGACACTGTACTCCAGGACCTCCTTGAGCTGGGCAATCACATCTCTTGTCTCTGGGTGGCCTATCTCATCCTCAGTCAGTACTCTAACAATCTGGGAGAAGCGCAGAATGAAATCCTGCTTTTCTTGGGCAGAAATATCTGATTTCTGGTCTCCATTCATTCTGAAGGAGGAGCAAAGGGCTCTGTTGCTGGATGTGGGTTCCTGCTCCACAGCTGTTGACTACAAGTGGAGCCAGTGCCCATTTACCATTCTGAAAATCCTTGGGTGCTTAAGCGTTATGCTAAATCTACTCTGCCTGTGTTCTGTATATGGAACAACAAAGCCTGGATAATAATAGCACATCTGTTTACAGCATGGTTTATTGAGTTATTTTAAGTCCACTGTTGAGAACTAATGCTCAGAAAAAAATATTCCTTTCAATGTCAATGGTCATTATTGAATGAAAAAAATATTCCTTTCCATATCAGTGGTCATTATTGACAATGCACCTGGTCACCCAAGAGCTCTGAGTACAATGTACAAGAAGATAAATATTATTTTCATGCCTGCTAAAACAATATTCATTCTGTAGCCCATGGATCAATGAGTAATTTGAACTTTGAACTCTCACTATTTAAGAAACACATTTTATAAGACTGTAGCTGTCATAGATTGTGATTCCTCTAATGGATGTGGGCAGTCAATTGAGAAATTTATGGAAAGGATTCACCATCCTAGATGCCATTAAGAACAGGTGCAATTAATGAAAGGATGTTAAAATAACAACATGAACAGGAGTTTGGAAGAAGTTGATTCCAACTCTCATGGATGACTGTGAGGAGTTCAAGACTTCAGTGGCGGAAGTAACTGCAGATGTGGAAATGGCAAGAGAACTAGAATTAGAAGTGGAGCCTGAAGAGGTGACTAAATTGCTGCAATCTTATGATCAAACCTGAACGGATGACAAGTTGCTTCTTATGGATGAGCAGAAAAAGTGGTTTCTTGAGAGGGAAACTACTCCTGGTAAATATGGTGTGAACATTTTTCAAATGACAACAAAGAATTTAGAAATATGCCTAAACTTAGTTGATGAAGCAATGGCAGTGTTGGAGAGGATTGGAATCCTTTGGGTAAAATGCTGTCAAGCAGTGTGGCATGCTACAGAGAAATCTTGCGAAAGGAAAAGGCAATTGATGTAGCAAACTTCATTGTTTTCTTATTTTAATAAATTGCCACAGCCACCCCAACCACCACTCTGATCAGTCAGCAGCCACCAACATCAAAACAAGACCCTCCATCAGTAAAAAGATTTTGACTCACTGAAGGCTCAGATGATCATTAGTAAATGATTTTTGGCAGTGAAGTTTTTTTTGTTTGAGACAGAGTCTCACTCTGTCACCTAGGTTAGAGTGCAATGGCACAATCTCAGCTCACTGCAGTCTCCATCTCCCAGGCTCAAAGTGATCCTCCCACCTCAGCCTCCTGGGTAGCTGGGACCATAGGCATGAGCCACAATGCCTAGCTAATTATTGTGTTTTTTTTTATAGAGACAGGGTTTCGATGTGTTGCGCAGGCTAGTCTTGAACTCCTTGGCTCAAGTGATCCACCCACCTTGGCCTCCCAAAGTGCTAGAATTACAGGTGTTAGCCACCATGCCCAGTCAGTGGAAGTATTTATAAATTAAGGTATGTGCATTGTTTTTTCAGACATGATGCAATTGCACACTTAATAGACTATAGTATAGTGTAAACATAACTTTCTTTTTTTTTGTTTTTTGAGACAGGATCTTGCTCTGTTGCCCAGACTGGAGTGCAGTGGCACCATCTCAGCTCACTGCAACCTCCACTTCCCTGGTTCAAGTGAGTCTCCTGACTCAGCCTCCTGAGTAACTGGAACTACAGGCATGTGCCATCATGCCCGGCTAACTTTTGTATTTTTAGTAGAGACAGGGTTTTGCCATGTTGGCCAGGCTGGTCTCAAACTCCTGACCTCACGTGATCCGCCTGCATCGGCCTCCAAAAGTGCTGGGATTACAGGCGTGAGCCACTGCATCCAGCTGTGAACATAGCTTTCATATGCAGTGGGAAACTAAAAAATTCGTGTGACTCACTTATTTGCAATATTTGCTTTATTATGGCGTGATGCTCAGGAACCACAATATCTCTGAGGTATGCATACAGTTTAATGCTTTGTGTTGACCAATGGTACTTTTAATATTCCACACAGGCTTTAAAAAATTTTTTTTAAGCCATTGGTACATAGGAAAAGTCTTTTATATCAGAGTTTGTCAACCACAATACTGAGGGGCTTTCAGAATCCTGAGATACTGATTCTCCTGGCCTCTGTGGTGGCTAGAGAGCCCAGTTAGTCACCTGACTGCTTTATCTTTTCACCTTGTGCCATACAAATATTAAAATAATTTTATTCATTGAATGTGAAAAAGACAGGGGATCTCTGAATTAGAAACCAATTCTCTAGTTTCATTATGTTTAGATTCCTCTTTTGGCTGCAATTCAGTTTTTTTTCAGTTTCAGGGTATTCAGTAGCTTTGTTCTGCATTGTCAATCAATCATGTAGCAAATATTTATTGAGAATTCATCCATAGTTGGATAGTGTGAGAGACACAACAGCTAATGCTAAAAATTTGGCTTTTGCCTTCAAGGAACTGATAGTCTAGTTAAGGGACATCAGAATTATTTAGGAAACAACTAGGTAAGAACGTGAAGGAATCACCGATGAAATGCTAGATTATTTAGCACACATGATAATCACTACAAGAAATCAGAAAAGGCAGAGATCGGCATGGGGTGGACATAGAGAAGACTTTATAAAAGAAGCATAAAATGTGTTCAATTTTAAAAGATGAGTAGAATTTGAAGAAGTAAGACATACCAAGGTGGTTATTTCAGGCAAAAGGATAGGTATGAACAGAGTTTTAAAAGCTAGAATGGGTCAGGCATGGTGGCTCACACCTGTAATCCCAGCACTTTGGGAGGCCAAAGTGGGTGGGTGAACTGAGGTCAGGAGTTCGAGACGAGCATGACCAACGTGGTGAAACCCTGTCTCTATTAAATACAAAAAATTAGCCAGGCATGGTGGTGCATGCCTGCAGTCCCAGCTACTTCGGAGGCTGAGGCAGGAGAATTGCTTGAACCCAGGAGGGAGAGGTTGCGGTGAGCCGAGATTAAGCCATTGCACTCCAGCCTGGGTAACAAGAGCTAAACTCTGTCTCAAAAAAAAAAAAAAAAAAAAAAAAAAAAAAAAAAAAGCTAGAATGAACTTTGCAGGGGCAGTAAGGAAACTGGTATCACCAGAATCAACGTTCAAACCGAGGACTAGTGTGACACTGGATAGGTAGCTTAGGGCTAATTTATGGAGGCCTTAAGTAATAAGCATAGAAGTTGAGATGTGATGGGTAATGGTTCATAATTCAGCATAAGTTCTTAAGGAGGCAAGTAACATAATTAAAATAGTGGGGTTTTGTTGTTGTTGTTGTTGTTTTTTGAGTCAGAGTCTTGCTCTGTCACCCAGGCTGGAGTGCAGGGGCACAATCTTGGCTCATTGCAACCTTTGCCTCCTGCATTCAAGCAATTCTCCTGCCTCAGCCTCCCCAGTAGCTGAGATTACAGGTGCTCACCACCACACCCAGCTAATTTTTGTATTTTCAGTAGAGACGGGGTTTCACCATATTGGCCAGGCTGGTCTTGAACTCCTGACCTCGTGATCCACCCACCTCAGCCTCCCAAAGTGCTGGGATTTCAGGCATGAACCACCGTGCCCGGCCAAAATAATATTTTATAAAGGGCAACCTCACAATGAAAAAGAAAAAGAGATGAGGTAAAAAGGAAAAAAGAGATATTGAAGTTATGTGAACCAAATAGGAGGGTCCTGCAATAGTCCAGTCATGATATGGAAAGACATTCCCATCTCAACTAGATCCTTGGATATGGAGATGGGACATCAATTTGAGGATGATACGCCAAAAAGCACTGGTTAACTCAGTTTGTATAATTAGAGTCACCATAAATTGGAAGAAGAGGTTATTCTCTTTTGTTTATGTGAGAAAAGAAAAGAACAGAGATGAGAATCTTTCACTTCCTGTTAACTGTTTGTATTTTTGATGGTGACTGTGGGAAGTTAGGAGACATTTTCAAAGATAATTAACAGGACTTGGGGCTGAGTGGTTATTGGGAAAGTAAAGTAAATACTGTAGTCACTTTAAAGTTTCTTACCTTTATATTTTTATTTTTAGCCACCTAAACTTTATCTGAATTTAATAAATGGCATTTTAATAAAAATAAAAATATTACAGAAATATCAATCTGAAGAAAAAAATTAAATATTGATCTTAAAAATGCCCCAGAGAGTGCTCGCTTCGGCAGCACATAAACTAAAATTGGAATGAAACAGAGAAGATTAGCATGGCCCCTGCACAAGGATGAAATGCAAACCTGTGAAGCATTCCATACTAAAAAAAAAAAAAAAAATGCCCCAGAGAGCCTGGGAACAGTGGTTCATGCCTGTAATCCTAGTACTTTGGGAGGCTGAGGCAGGTGCATCACTTGAGTCCAGGAGTTCAAGACCAGCCTGGGCAACATGGTGAAACTCCATCTCTACAAAAATATAAAAATAAGCTGGGCATGGTGGCATGTACCTTTGATCCCAGCTACGCGGGAGGCTGAGGTGGGTGGATCGCTTGAGCCCAGGAGGCTGAATTTGCAGTGAGCTGAGATCTTGCCACTGCGCTCTAGCCTGGGTGACAGAGCCAGACCCTGTCTCAAAAAAAAAAGCCCCATAGAATGCCAAAATCCCGTCTTAGGTTAGCGTCATATATTTTAACTGTGTTTTCAAATAGTTGGATTTATTTTTGGACCGTTGCATTTTAATGTATCAAAAATGCAAGAAAGGAAACAACATATGTAAGATTATAAGATTCTGAGGAATAACTGAAAATAAAATAAGCAAGAAAAAATATAAGTAAAAATTTTAATTTAGAATAAAACCCTAAGATAGAAATTTTAAAAATACCAAGGAGATAAGCAATAGAACTAGTTGACATTGTTTAAATTGGGTTTGACTAATTTCTGAGTATTAGCTGTAATGTCTATATAATGTATTTACTTGGGTTACATTATATTTGATGGCTGTTGTGGCCCACTAGCCCATTAAGTTTCAGGAGTTTATTTGTATTTTAAAATATATGCTGTTAGGTAAAAATCATGTAAGACACTTAGATAAAAGATAATATCAACTTTTCTTATAATATTTTGATATTTGAGTAATATAGGTATACCCCCCCAATAAAATCTATGCTTTCCTTCTTATTTATTCAACACATACTTAATGAGTACCTGCTCTGTACTGTGTTATCCATCCTTTCTTCCTGGTCTTCACTCTGCAGTTTTATGGACACCTGAACACTGTTGATACGTAAGGTGGTGAAGTTTCATTAGTGGATGTAGACCCTGTATATGTTATCAGTATATCTTTAGGAACCAAAAAGGATTTAACAACTCAGACCTAGACCAATATTTTTCTCCTTGCTTGAAGACTTCCTCTTTGCAAGTCTTTCTTGTGAATTAAACCTCTGTAGTCCTGTTTCAAGAAGTAAATAACTTATATCTCACTACACCAAGAACTCTTCTAGGTACTTAGTAGGCACTCATTAAATCTGCAAATGATTGATAAATACTGTTCCACTGGATTCTGATTTGTTTCTTTTTGAACATCTAGTGGACTGCCTAAAAGAGCCATCTTATTTCTGAGCTTTACTTGGTGAACTTGTGTTTGGTTATTGATGAATTAGTTTGCACGAGTCTTTGGGGACAACGGGAGAAAAACTTTGAAATTTAATTAGTTTATCCATTGTGGATCTAGTTGAGTATATTTCTCTGTCAGATCAGCAAATCTCTTCTTCAAGGGATGGTAAAATCTAGTGTGGAATTAGGGAAGGAATTTTAAAGCACTGTCTTTTTATAATTACACTAACACTCTCCTGTCTTCTATTTTTTAGGAAATATTCTGCTGTACGTAGAGATGGCTCTTTCCATTATGTCCACAGTACTCCCTTTGGCAACTATTCATTCATCTCTGTTGATGCCACCTTAAATCCAGGGCCTAAGAGACCCTATAATTTCTTTGGAATTTTAGATAAGGTGTAGTAAAAATCTTACTTCCCTTTGTAGCTTACTTATTTTTTCATGGACATATGTGGATCACTTAAAGTTATCATAGGTAAAGTAGTTGTTATCGAGGAAGGCTTGGAGAGAAATTTAACTTGGTTACAGGTATGGCTAGAAGTTACTGGCTGTTTCAGCACTATTTTTGCTATGCTTGTTCTCGACCCAAAATCTAAGAAAGAAGTATCTCACACTTTATGGAGTAAACATTTATTAAATAGGTACTGGGTGCAGGATGCACTTTGCAGGGTACAGGACCTATAACTTTGTGTGGTATATTCCTAAGTTCCCACAATTGCCAATTCTGACTAATGGTCTTTTTTTTTTTTTTTTTTTGTGACGGAGTTTTGCTCTCTCGCCCAGGCTAGAGTGCAGTGGTATGATCTCGGCTCACTGCAGCCTCCACATTCCTGGCTCAAGCAATTCTCATGCCTCAATCTCCCAAGTAGAGATTGCAGGCATGTGCCACCATGTCCAGCTAATTTTTGTATTTTTAATAGAGAGAGAGTTTTGACATGTTGACCAGGGTGGTCTCAAACTCCTGTTCTCAAGTGATCCACCTGCCTCAGCCTCCCAAAGTGCTGGGATTACAGGCATGAGCCACTGTGCTCAGCTGGTCTCTATTTTTTTTTTTTTAACAAAATAAGGACAACTATTGAAATCAGTAAGTTTATTTTCAAGTATTTTGGCAAGGCTAGGTGATTGCTGGATTTAAACTGTGTGGAAAGTCTCATTTGAGAACCTCTTATTATTTCTTGGTACAATAAATGCCAACTCATTATTTAATAAGCCTATCCCCCTAAGTAAGACATGTGAACTCATATGAAAGAACACAAAGGTAATAAAGCCAATTCTTAGACTCTTAGAGTGTTTATTCTAGTGGTGAAGTATAAGACCAGTATAGAAATAAATACAATAAAGAGCAGAATTTGCTAAATTAGAACTAAGAGATTCAGAGTTATATGAATGAGTTTGAAAGAATGTGAAATCAAGTGAACAGAATATTGTCAAACGCACTGTGTTACTTTAGGCATTTTATTTAGTTACATTCTGTTTTGTTTCCTATCAATCAAGTGTCTTTAGTCAGGGTTGATTAACTCACATTAAATCCCATTCCTTAGTATTGTGTTAAGGTAGAATTTGAGGATCATGTACATGCAAACCAACAGGAGTGTTACAAAATGCAGATCTCTTGGCCTTGCCCTGGACTTACCAAATTAAAACCCTGAGGGTAGAGCCCATAAATTTATTGTTGTAGGCACTTTACAGATAATATTAATGCATATTTACATATGTACCAGTTATTTTTTGAAATCAACTTTTGAGGTATGATTTGCGTACCAAAAAATCCTCATTTTAAATGTTTGGAGAGTTTTGACAAATGTATATACTGGCGTAACTGTCACCACAATTAAGACATAGAACATTTCCATCATCCTAAAGAATTTCCTTGTACAGTTATCTTCACCTCCTAGGGAATAACTGGTTGGTTACCTACCAGCATGGATTAATTTTGTTTGTTCCAAAACTTTGCATAAATGAAATCATACAGTATGTACTCTTGGGTGTGGCTTCCTTAGCTCAGTATAATGTTTCTGAGATCCATCCATATGGTTGTGTGTATCAGCAGTCCTTTCCTTTCTGTTGCTGAGTAGTAGTCCATCATGTGGATGTATTACAACTTGATGATGATTTCCAGTTTTTGGCTATTATGAGAAGTGCAATAAACATTTAGGTAGAAGTCTTTCCATATTATTATTTTAGAAGTTTAGTTTCAGTATCCTTTTTATTAATTGTAATGTGTTATACAAAGCTATAAATATTAGTGATGACTGCTTTATTTCTCAGTTTCTTTATCTGTTAAAAGAGGTTAATATCTACCATACCTATTGCAGAGTTATTTTTAGAATCAAATGAATTATAATGTATATGGAAACAGTTTGAAATCCACAGAGGTCCATACTGGTCATTAACTAGTAGGATTTAAGGCCTAGATAACATACAATTATTATTATAAATCTTCAGAGGAGTTTCCTAATCTGTTGACATTAGATTTTAGCCTGAGCCCTAATTTAAGATCCTTCCATTTTTCTCCCATTTCAGAAACAGATGGAGGAGCTCTTATTACTGGCCAAGGAAAGTAGTCAGAGCAACCATACAATTTGGTTTGGACACTTTACAACATCCACTATTCTTTCTCCATCACCAGGAATCCGGTCAATAATGAGGTGAGACAAGCATCCAAAATCAGAATTCATTTGTTTTTAGTTTTTAATTTTGCTGTACCTATTCTGCTTTTCTGGCAAGACATTTTTATTAGTTTGGCCTCACAAGTTATCTTTGTTCATTTATTTCATTTTTTTTCTTTGGTTAGTTCGGCTATAGCTTATTTGTGTGGACATCTCCATACACTTGGTGGACTCATGCCTGTTTTGCACACTCGTCACTTCCAGGGCACTTTGGAACTTGAGGTGGGAGACTGGAAGGATAACAGAAGGTAAGGGAACCTCCCCACAGAATAAAACTTATACACATAAGTTTTGCCAAAGCAATGATAGTTTTCATGCTGATATCATGGGTGATTACAGTTAAAGAAAACCTTGTGATATTTCTGTTTTTCTAAAGTAATATGTGTCTTTGCAATCTTTGTCATTTTGCAGAGACCTTGTCACAGCAGTGATGTTAACTATCACTGTGTTATGTTGGATTTTCAAGATATGTCCATTAGGAAATGGACTCAAACTCTAGTGTGCACAAGACTTATGGGGGAGCTTATGAAAAATAAAAATTTTCAGGCACTATGTCTAGAGATTTTGATTGTGTTGGTCTGGATTAGGGTCCAACAAACTGCATTTTTTTTTTTTTTAGACGGAGTCTTGCTCAGCCACCCAGGCTGTAGTGCAACGGCGCCATCTCAGCTCATTGCAACCACCATCTCCCGGATTCAAATGATTCTCCTGTTTCAGCCTGTCGAGTAGCTGGGATTACAGACACATGCCATCATGTCCGGCTAATTTCTGTATTTTAGTAGAGATGGGATTTCACATGTTGACCAGTCTGGTCTTGAACTCCTGACCTCAGGTGATCTGCCTGCCTCGGCTTCCCAAAGTGCTAGGATTACAGATATGAGCCACCACGTCCAGCCCAAACTGCATTTTTTAAAAGGCTGCTGGGTGGTCTATGCACAATTTGAGAAATACTATTACTAGAAGTATCATTTTTTTCCTCCTGAATTTTGTATCTACCATATTGGTTAGTGCTACAAGATGGTAGTGATTTAAGTTCTTCAAATAG